AGGTCATCTTTGTCATTCTCAAAAAGATTTACATAAAACATCCTCATAGGTTCCTCATAGACAGAGTTACCAACAGTGTTGAACAGAGATGAAAGATGTTGAAAATCAAATATAGAGGTCACATCACAATGCAAATTTTTCATGAGAGAAAGACTTACAGAGCTTCCATAAGCCATAGATTTTGACTTGTAGGATTCAAACCTTGCTTTTTCACTCGGTCCATAAAAGATCAACTTGTCCTCAGGTCCGAATTTAGTGTTCTCTACCTTTCCTTTCTTGCATGCAGCCTTTTTGGGGGTTTGCTCCATGGGCCTTTTTCCTGCCTTTTTCTTACTGATGGGAGGATTTTAAGAGGATTCACTACTCTCATTGTCTGTTTTGAGAAAATCTGAGTCAATAGATGACTCCAAATCTACAGGTTCTTCATGATTGAAGGGTTTTTGAAACCTTCGGCTACATCTGGTTGCAGTGGAGGAAGAGGGATTTCTTTTGGCAATGGTGAGAGGGTTTGTTTGATAAGAATGAAGAGAGTAACAGAGATGAGAGGGGTTTTATCGATGCTTTTGGAGTAATGAAGGGTCGCCTTGGTTAAAGAAAAAGGCGGGTTCAGAAGGAAGTGATGCTTCTGAAGTGACTGATCGGCGGTACTGATGAAGCAATTATTACACCTATACAAAAATTAATTAAGCCACACGTACTTAAGGAAATAAAATATTTTAAAACACGACAAAAAAGATTTGATTTACAAATTTGGAAAAACGCCAATCTTTTTCCTAAGAAAACAAAATCTTTCTTCAAAAAGTGGTTTTGTAAAAATATCGGCAAGTTGAGAATCAGTACTAATAAATTCTAATAAAATATCACCTTTAGCGACATGATCACGTATAAAATGATGCTTAATTTCTATATGCTTTGCTCTAGAATGATGCACAGAATTCTTTGATAAGAAAATAGCACTGGTATTATCACAAAATATAGGAGTAGAGGTAAAAGATAAATCATAGTCGAGAAGTTGATGCATAGAACTTGTGTACAACAGCTTCCGACAACTAAATATTCTGCTTCAGTCGTTGAAAGGGCAACACAATTTTGTTTCTTGCTATGCCAAGATACTAATGCATTTCCCAATAGCTGACACGTGCCACTAGTGCTTTTTCTATCAATCTTGTCACCTGCAAAATCTACATCTGAAAAACCCTTTAATGCAAATTTGTTAGAATGATCATACCATAATCCTAGATCAGAAGTACCAATTAGATATCTAATAATTTGTTTAACAGCAGTGAGATGGGATTCCTTAGGAGCCAACTGAAATCTTGCACACTTGCATACACTGAACATAATATCTGGTCGACTAGCAGTGAGATACAGTAGGGACCCTTCCCTCTATACATGGTTTCATCAACCTTTCTTTCATTGTTGTCTTCATCGAGTATTGTTCTTGGACTCATTGGAGTCCCGATTGACTTTGCATTTTCCATCCATACTTTTTGATAAGCTCCTTAGTGTACTTGGTTTGGATAATGAAAATTCCTTTAGGAGACAGTTTGATTTGAAGTTCGAGAAAGAATGTCGGTTCTTCCATCATATGCTCATTTCGAATTCTCCTTTCATGGAATGAGAAAAATCTTCACATAAAGCAGAGTTAGGACTACCAAAAATAATGTCATCAACATAAATTTGAGTAATAAGATTACCTGAACTAGAATGCTTAATAAAAAGAGTTGTATCGATATTACCTCTTTTGAACCCTTGATTTAAGAGAAAAGAACTTAACCTTTCATACCAGGCACGCGGAGCTTGTTTGAGACCATACAAAGCTTTAGTCAGCTTGTATACATGATTAGGAAAAGTGATGTTTGCAAATCCTGGTGGTTGCTTTACATATACTTCTTCAGAGATGTAGCCATTTAGGAAAACACTTTTAACGTCCATTTGAAACAGCTTGAAACCTTTGTGAGCAGCAAAAGCAAGTAATATTCGAATGGATTCAAGTCTTGCTATAGGGGAAAATGTTTCGTCATAGTCGATTCCTTCTTGCTGAGAGTATCCTTGAGCAACTACTCTTGCTTTATTTCAAATCACTTGACCAGATTCATTCAATTTGTTTTTGAATACCCATTTAGTTCCAATGATTAAGGAGTTTGAAGGTCTTGGAACCAATTCCCATACTTTGTTTCTTTCAAATTTATCTAATTCCTATTTCATAGCACTTATCCGGTGAGCATATTTTAGAGCTTCATCCATTTTTTTTGGCTCAAGTTGAGAAATAAGAGCCACATGAGATTTGTTCTTCTGAGATCTTCTTGTAGTGATTCCTTCTTGTGGATCTCCTATAACAAATTTGTGAGGATAGCCAGGTTCGCTTTTCCATTCATTTGGTGTGTTTGAAGGAGGATCTCTTTATACATTAGTCGACTGATCTGTTTGAGATGGTTCGTGAATTTCTACAGGCTCTTCAGGTGGTTGAGTTTGCTGATTAGCTGACTAACTTTGATGATCCTTTCCTGAAATGACAGATTTAGGGACAAAAGGAATTTTCTCATCTTCAGGAAGGTTTTCACTCCTTGGACGAGGGTTAGTATCAACAAAAACAACATGAATTGATTCTTCAATGCAGAATGTTCTTTTATTATAAACTCTATATGCTCTACTTGAAGGAGAGTAACCAAGAAATATACCTTCATCACTTTTAGGATCGAACTTACCCAAATTATCTTTCCATTGTTGTGAATGAAACATTTGCATCCAAAGAGGTGAAAATAGCTAATATTGGGTTTCTTACCATTCTACAGTTCATACGGTGTCTTTTTGAGAATTGGTCGAATCATACACCTATTGATAATATGACATGCTGTGCTTACCGCTTCTGCCTAGAAATGATGAGGTAGGGAATTTTCCACAATCATGGTTCTTGCCATGTCCTGTAGGGTTCTATTTTTACGCTCTACCACTCTATTTTGTTGCAGAGATCTTGGTGAAGAGAAGTTGTGAGAGATTCCTTGATCGTTGTAAAAGTTTTCAAAAGCTCTGCTTTCAAATTATCCTCCATGATCACTTCTGATAGAAGAGATGTAGTAAACTTTTTCTCGTTGAACCTTCTTATAGAAAACTTCAAAATTCTTTAGAGAAACATCTTTATGACTCAAAAACATAACCCAGGTAAATCTAGAGAAATCATCCACAATAACAAAAACATATTTTCTACCACCTATGCTAGCAGTTCTAGTTGGACCAAATAAATCCATATGCAATAGTTGAAGAGGTTTTGAGGTGGAAACAAAGTTCTTGATTTTGAAAGATGAGCGAGTTTGTTTTCCTAGTTGACATGCATCACAAATATGATCCTTTGAAAAATCTAGTTTTGGAAATCCAATGACGAGATCATGTTTAGAAAGCTTTTGAATAGTATGCATGCTGGCATGACCAAGTTTTCTATGGCGGACCCAAGGATCATCAACTATAGAAGCAAGACAGATTTGATCCCCAAGATTATCTAGGTTGCTAATAGTATAGACATTTCTATCTCTATTACCTGAAAGAATGACTTTACCTGATTCATCTTCTATGAACCAACCATGTTTCTTAAAACGAACCTCATAGTCATTTTCACATAGTTGACTAATGCCGAGAAGATTGTAGCCGAGTTCATCAACCAGGTAGACTTCGTCTACATCACATGTTGGGCTTAGAGGAACTTTTCCAACACCAATTACATTTCCTTTGGATTTGTCTCCAAATGTGACAGTTCCTCCATCTAGTTAGTGACTGTCTTGAACAATTGTTTGTCACCGGTCATATGTCTGGAACACGCGCTGTCGAGATACCATTTTCCTTTTCAATTCTTCTTGCGGTGTTCCTGCAAAACAAAATTACTTGTTTTTAGGTACCCAAGATTGCTTGGGTCCTGAAGGATTAGAATGCTGAGTGTTAGTTTGGTTTGAAGATTTTGGTCGCCAAACCCATCTTCTGTTATCCTTAAACCTGCAGCGATTTGAGGTACGGCCCTTTTTACCACAATAAAAACAAGATGAACTATTTTCATAATCTTTTTCACCTTTGATTATGTTCCTGCATTGGTTAGTATTATGCCCATTCTTACCACAAAAGGAACACCCACAAGATTTCTTCTGTTTGTGACAAACAGTCTGATTTGATTTGACTGAACTATGACTAGTGGATTTTTGTAATCCATTCAATTGAAGTTGAAGTTCATTGACTTCTTCCTGTAGCATATCACGTTCAATTTCACAAACTTCTAGCTTCAGAGCCCATTCTTTCTTTTCTCTTTGAATATTTCTGAGTTCATTTAGAACTCTTTCAATATCTGCAAGAGCAATATCAACGAATTTTTGGAGTTCATAATAATTAGGGCAATTTAGGGGACGTACCTCACTATTTCCCTCGTCTGCCATGAATGAGTCTTCTTTTTCATTTATTCCTCTGTTTCCTGAGAACCCACGCTCTCCTAATTCTTCATTTCCATCATCTTCTATGGCCATGAAGCACATATTTGCAATTTCTTCATGATCAGACTCTTCTTCATCACTCCAGGCTCCAAAAGACTTCTTCCTTTGAAGATTCCTGCTCAGCTTCTTCTTTAGTTCTGGACAGTCAGCTTGAATGTGTCCATGGTTACCACATTCGTAGCATCTTCCATCATTTTTATTGTTTATCCTTCCCTTTCTGAAGTTTGGTTTACCTCTTCTGCTATTTCTGTTTTTCTTCATCATGCTAGTTACAACTTGAGAAAGCATGGCTATGTTTTCATCCTGTTCTCCTCCTTTATTTTCTTCTTCATCCTCTGGTTCAGCCACAGTTGCTTTGAATGCAACTGTTTTCTTCTTTTCTTGTTGAATCTGTCTATCCAAATGAGTCTTCTCAAAAGCTATTATATCACCTCTGAGTTCATCATAGGACATTTTATCAAGATCCTGACATTCGAGTGCGATGACCTTTGGCTGCCAAATCGTAGGTAGACTTCTGAGAATTTTTCGGACTTATTCTCCGCTTCTTATTGTTCTACCAAAGGATTTCAGATCTCTAAGAATTTTGCTGAACCTGGAGAACATTTCTTCAACAGATTCTCCATCCTTCATTTGAAACAGCTCATACTCACGAACCAATAGATTTATCCTAGTTTCTTTTACCTTGTGTGTCCCTTCATATGTAACTTTCAATTTATCCCACATCTCCTTAGCGGTTTCACAACTTGAGATCTTTTCATATTCTTCACCACTGATAGCATTGTACAACATATTTTTTGCTTTGGTATTTACACTTATGACAACAGCTTGCTCATCAGTGTAGTCATCTAAGTCAAGTGGATCAGTGGATACTATTACTTGACCATTTTCGTCTTTCCTTGAGAGAATTGGAAGATATCCCTTTTTGATCACTCGCTAGACTTTGATGTCATAAGATATGGTGTATGTTTCCATACGCACCTTCCAATGAGAGAAGTGTTGTCCATTGAAGTATGGTAGTCGAACTTGAGATGTTCCCTCTTGAAATAGTACACCAACGATTGTGTTTGATCCCACGATCTTTTCCTCACTATCTGTTAAGCAAAGTTTGTGAGCCTTGCTCTGATACCAATTGAAAGTACAAGAGGGGGGTGAATTGTGGTCTACTAAAAATTAGTCGACTAACAATGATTTTAGTTGACTAGATCGAGCGCAGAAGTAAAATAACAGTAAACAGAAAGAGAATGACACACAACAATTTTACTAGTTCGGTACCGGTGTGGTACTTACATCTAGTTTCCCTTGGGTCACAAAGGTTTTTTTAGATCTTGAAAGTATTACAACAGGGATGGTTGTGATTCGTTCACCACCAACGAAGTACAACAACAGTGAATTTCTAATAATGACACAACTCTCTTTTGTGTTCTAATTGTTCCTATCTTTTGAGACACTAATGTGATCGCTACTGTGTTAAAACACAAAATCAGAAAAACTGTTAGAAAAATAAAAGAAACTGGAAAAACAGAAGAGTTTAAGAAATATTCCGAGTCCACAATTTTCTTGTGTGTCCTTAAGGAATTTTAACCCCCTCACACGTTGCCAAGGTAATGGATTAAATCCTCCACGGAATAAACCTTCCTGCAACAGTGGCAATACAAACTGCAGGATACCAACGAACTTAAAGAACGGAGCAAAATCACACTTACGAATTTGAGAGAGAGAGACTGCGAATTAGAATGCAGTATATTTAGAAAGAAAGAAGTTCTGGAGTGTTTTTCGTGTGTAGAAAATGGAGTCTTGCCTCAGAATTTATAGGCAATTATCAGAAGAGGTGTCTGGAAAAGGTGCCTTTTCAGAAGAATACGCTGCCTGCCGCGGTTCTACCACGGTCGCGGCAGAACCGCGGTCAGAGAGGCTCTCTGAATCAACCTGCCGCGGTTCTACCGCGGTCGCGGCAGAACCGCGGCCAGAGAAGCCCTCTGAACCTTCAGCAGGGTTCTGGCGTATTTTCAGCAGTGATTTGGCATTTAATTAATTATTAAATAATTAAATAAATTTTGTCCAAAAATAATCTTATCGATCATTTGACAAATCCGAAGCTGAAGCCGAAGCCGAGCGAGCGACGACGGCGTGAGGGTTCATTCTCTTCAACTCCTTTTAAGAGTTTTAAGAAGTGATTCTATATATAAGCACACAAATGTGGTTGTCCCTCACCAATGAGGGACAAAGTGCAAGACAAAAGTTCACTTCTTCAAATTTTCAATTTCCCTCCATTTTATTTCCCTCCATTTCCAATTCACACTTATTCTACTTTAAAGCCCAATGGCTTAAAGTCTAACAACTAATAAACTTCAGATTACAGTGTTTAGGCTAAGAAGTGGGGAGACTTAGAAAATAATGTGTGGAGTTGCGCAAGTCTTCCAATTGAAATTAGCAGTCTTCTTATAGGAGAGGAAAAGAGTCGTTGAATCTTGACCAGAAATAGAAGCACGAGATCTTTAAAAGGTTTTGACCCAAGGGGTGCCTCTTCGAATCCTGCTCTTTGGGAGAGACCGGATTCGATCGTGACTTTCCTTGTCACAACTTTCATTTACGAGACAATCAATACTTTGACTGAGCTTTAATTAAGGAAACTGAATATGGCAATAACTTCTTGATTGGTAATCGGATTTCCTTGATTGAGGCCGAGTAGATTTGCAGACTTTTGATTCCTTCTATAGGTTCATTGATTTAGCAATCACATATTTAGATAGCTTCTCATTACTTTTCTTTCCTTTTGATGATTCCTGCAATATAGAATAATTGAATATTGTCAGGAAGTTGGGGAATCATGTTAATCAAGCATAGTTTTAGTGACGGAAATAAAGTTGCACACCTCTTGGCGAAGGAAGCTGCCCAAGCCCGGTGTTACAAAACATTATGCAGTTCCGCCATTATTGTTAAGTTGTGTGTTTTATTAGATAAGATAGGAACGTATTCTGTTAAAAATATTACAGCTACTGTATGTAACAAGTTGGCTACTTGTTTTGTAATGACGGTTAATTTTATACTATAATAATACTATCCTGTTATAACCACACAAAAAAAACTATAAGCAAAATGCGGCCGCTGTGTGCAAATCTCTTTCTATTGTAGATCCACTTCAATTGTTTTAGCCCAAAACACGTATTACTAGGCTTCCAACAAGCGTATATTTTGCATTGGTCACTCCCTTTTGTCCCGTAAAAATAGCACGGTATAGCCGGTTTTCGGACTGGTCAATTAAAAATAGCCAGTGTTTACCAAGTCAATGAAAAATAGCCACTATTTTGCTGCAATAGAGACCGGTCCAGCATAATATACTGGAGTTCGGTGCACTTGTGTATGAACTCCAGCATATTATGCTGGACCGGTATACTTTGCTGGCTCCAGTATAATATACTGGAGACTGGAGCACCGGTGCTCCAAACTCCAGTATATTATACTGGACCAATATACTTGTTGGAACTCCAGTATATTATGCTGGAGTATTTTCCGGGTTTTGAACAGTGTTTATAAAAAGTGGCTAAATTTCGATTACTTTTGAATTTGGGCTATTTTTGAACGACCAGTTGTAAATCTGGCTATTTTTAAAATTTACCCTTTTGTCCCACTTGTCAATCCCATTGTAGCCCAGCCTCTTAAATTTTGGGCCATGCTCTTTTGGGCCAAATGCTCACATTCCAGCTCCGGTGGTTACCAATGTTTTTGGGAGAAATTCAAAAATAGCCAGATTTACAAGTGGTCATTCAAAAATAGCCACAGTTTCAAAAGTAAACGAAATTTAGCCACTTTTCATGTAAAGAAATATCTGAACGAAAACACTGTTCAAAATCCGGAAAATACTCCAACATAATATACCGGAGTTCAAGCATAAGTATACTGGAACTCCAATATATTATAATAGAGTTCCACCATAAGTATACTGGAACTCCAGCATATTATAATGGATTTCCAGCATAATATACTGGAGTTCCAATATAATATACCAGTCCAGTATAATATGCTGGAAGTTCATACACAGGTGCTCCAATCTCCAGTATATTATGCTGGAACTTTCCGCGTGTTGGAGTTCCAGCATAATATGCTGGAAGTTCATACACAGGTGTACCGATCTCCAGTATATTATGCTGGACCGATCCCTGTTGCAGCAAAATAATGGCTATTTTTCAATGACTTTGCAAACGCTGGCTATTTTTGAATGACCAGTCCGGAAACTGACTAGCCCGTGCTATTTTAATATATTTTTAGAGCCTGTAAAAAGAGAGAGAGAACTTCCTCTTATACTAATCTATCTATATCTATATCTATATTATTATAAAAGCATGAATACAATGTCGGTTTACAAAAATAACCTTATAATATTAAGCATAATAACTCATAATAAAAGGACATAACCGAAATTCTAGATATTAGCCTTATAATCCTATTAGTTTTCGAACATATATAATATTACATCTAGAAATCCTATTAGTATAATTATACTAATAGTACGTATCCTATTAGCATTCCTTTTGTTACCTAATAATTTTAGCACGTATCGTATCCTTCCTATTAGCATTCCTTTTGTTACCTAATAGCACGTATCCTATTATGNATAAACTTTCAGCGTAGAGATATTTTTAGTCATATAATCCTATTAATTTTAAGATATACCTCTTAAAAATTTCTATTACTAATTCAATTTGAAAACGTATTATAATGTCTTATCTATACTATATTAAAAGCACGAATGCCCTTAGCGAAATGTCGTTCGCCTTTTTTACCCTTTTAAAATAAGTTTCACATTGGACAAATATGTAATTTTAGTTACTTTCCTAATATTTAGCACTTTAAAATCGAGTGAAAATTTAATTATGACCTAAGTTTGAAGCATTAAGGATGTAACATAAGATAAAAGCTATTCAAAAGAAGTTATTATTATTATTTTTCTTTAAATGATAGCTTTCTATAATTTTAGTATAGTATTACATTGTTTTTTATAATTCAATATTAGTTATTTAAAACTTTATATTGTTATTTATCAATATTTTTATAGGAGCTATAGTTCTACCTCATCACTCACAAATTTCAAAAAGATCAAAAGATTCAAAATCTTAATTTATTTTCTTATCTTTAAATAATTATGGTAAAATTTCTTTTTTATGTTTTATTTGTTTATAGTATTTGGTAATAAAGATAACAATAATTTTTAGAAGATATTTTACTCCTCATAAATCATAATAAGGTATATAAAAATTTATGTGAAGTAGATTCTTTGTTTTTTTGAGCTAGCTTAGTGAGATTAACATTCATTAATTTTAGAAACTTATATTTTTTCAATATTTAACTCAAACACATTATTTAATAATATTTACGTAATTTTCAAAAATTAAATATTTATTGTTATAGGTACACGCGCAAAGCGCGTACCCTAAGACTAGTTACTAATTAAATTTGAGAATGTATTATATCATCCAAATCTATTTAGAAAAAGGAGAGCCTATATTATCATTATAAAATAACAATACAATATTAATAGACCAAAATAGCCCTAAAGTATTAAATGGAAGAACTATAGGGAAAGTGCATATGTGCAATAACTTATTTTTTGAACAAATTTGAGAATGTATTATATTATCCAAATCGATTTTGAAAAAGGAGAGCCTATATTATTATAAAAAGCACAAATACAATATTAATAAACCAAATAGCCCTAAAATATTAAATGGAAAATCCATAGCGAAAGGACATAACGACAATAACTTATTTTTTGGACTACGATACCGTCTATGATAATTTTTAATATTTTAAGATTTTAAAATTAATAAAATTTTATCTATTAAATTCTTATTAAAAACATGTAGGAAGGTTTAATACAATCAATTTCATAAGACTCCTCCGTATTAGCAATACATTATCACTCCATAATTTTTAATACCAAAAAAATAAAAGTAATACTAAATAGACTGCATAAAGAGTTGAAATTGAGAAGAAAAAAATTCCTACG